CCTCCTACACACACACACACACACACACACACACACACACACAGCACCTTCCTCTCACACCTCCTGTGGCGTTCGGGTCTCTGTCTCTCTGTCGTGCTACAGAGATGGCAGCACTCCAAGCTGCTCCGTCCACAGTGCCCTCCCACCAGAACCCTGCCCCCAAGGGCATCACCTAGAGCCCTGTCTTCTCTATCCACGCAAACGGTCAATGCAGTGGAAGGTGCAGGACCAAGAGCAAAGCGCTCCAGGGGCGAGTCTGGGCGTGGGTCCCCACCCTCCTTTACTGTGGTCCCCGTCTTCCCTGCCTTCTTCCCCAACCCCTCACTGCACTTCGCCCCGGCCCCCACTCAAGTCAGGTGGCTCAGTTTTCCTCCTGTCAGGGAGGAAAGGGGACTCTCTGTTGGGCTTGGGCACCGTGGCCATCCCTACCCAGGAAACTAGGGGTGGGCTTACAGTGGAGAATTTCAGGGGTGCACACCAGTCGAGAGAGATTTTTCTTAGTGAGGAGCAGGCCTTCCTTCTCGATGCTCCCATCGCCTCCCAGGAAGCGCACCTCACTGCTTAGGCTTCAAACCGGGGCCCGGGCAGCACGCAGACTCCATGGACAGAAGGACCCGAGCTACTCCCCGTGGGCCAACTTCAGGGCCCAGAGGCAGGGCTGGCCGGATTCCAAGAACCACAGACCACCGAAGAGCCTTTTATTTTTTTTTTAAACTGTGCTTTATTTAGGGCTAAGCTGGAGAAAGCGTCATCCAATAGTTACAGAAGGTTACAAGGAGTTTTAGGGAGTTGAGTGTGAAAAGAGCAGTTGTACTGAACTGCGGCTTTTTTTTTTTTTTACAACATCTGGACATCCTAAAAGGAGGAGCCAAGAGAAAGAAAAAGAAAATTTTAAAAATAATAATTAACCAACAAAATAGAAAGAAAGGAAAGGCAGAAGGCCTGAGAGGAACCAGACAGTTGTTCTTCTAAAGCAAAAAAGAAAAAGCATGGTAGGTCCGAGAGCCCCCCGGCCTCCAGATGAACTGGACATCAATGAAGAGGGTGTCAAGGCGGAAGGCCAAATCAAGTCTTCCCAACGGTGCAAATAAATTATAATAAATATGTTATACTTTAAAATATATGTGTTCTTAAATAATTCAGTGTTTTTTTCTGATTCTGAGTTTTTTTAAGCAATGTCTTTTTTTAACTGCTCTAAAGTCATTTACCAAAGATAAATATCGTGCTTTCATTAAATAGTTTTCCTTGTTTTTTTTTCTCTATCATTACAATTAAAAGTCCTACAAAATATGCAAATTTATTTACAGAAAAACAGAGCCGGCATCATTTAAACATCCCTGTTTTTCAAAATTCCTTGTAAACAGTTTCAGAAATTCTTCAAAGATTGTTTTTTTTTTTTTCTCTCTCTCGTTTAAGGTTTTTGTGTGTGTGTGTGTTGTTTAGTTGTTTTAAGATGAAAGTTCCCAGGTCTCCCTTGCCCGGAAAGTCTCTGGAGCAAGCATGGAAGGCGAGTGAAGCAGAAGGTGTCAGGGCTTGCGGAGAGCGGGCGAGCGCGCGCAGCTCCCGGAGCGAAGCGAGGCGAGGGCGGGGCCCTCCCGCCAGCGGCGCGGCCTCCACCGGCGGCGGCGGCGGCGGGCAGCCAGCAGCCCACGGGTCTGGGCGCGTCCGGCCGGGCCCTCGGGGTCAACGGCGTCCAGCAGCACTCGCGGGGAGAAGGGATTGATGCTCAGTCTAAACTCTACAAAAGTACAGTCCTACAACATCTGGGATTTTAGCAGTAACGCTAACTTCTATAGGTTTTTTTTCCTTTTTATTTTATTTTTTATTTTTTGCTTTCTTCTAATTTTTCTTCTATTATATAGGTATTTTAAACTTCTCCTTTTTAAAATTCTGTACAACTATTATGATTTTAAGAGGGGGGAAGAGTTAGAAGCATTTACAGACTTTGCACAACAATTATCTTGCCTTGTCGGTCCCTTTTTTCCCCTCCTTGTTTTCTTACACTTCACAGTTAATGAGTTTTAATATTGTGTGTTGCTTTCCCCAAATATCCACCAATTTGTTCATCTTAACAGCTCCATCCAGACATATAATACAGAAAACCATAGGAAAGTGTCATAGACTTGAATGAGGGTAATCAAAGCGCCTCTCAAAGTATCAAAGAACTATTATCTTGCTGTTTTAAAAGCATTGAAGCATTATTTTTCCTTTTTTTGTTTTTTTTTTGTTTTTTTTGTTTTGTTTTTGTTTTTTTATTACATTTTTCATAGAATCGCTCTAAGCTGTTTCAAGAACAGCCAGGAGGCAGGAAGGAGGTTCTCCTCCATCCCCCCTCTATTTGACCTAGAGCTACACGTCTGCAATAAAAAGTTTGGTCCTTTGGTCCCTAAATAGCTAAAGGAATGACAGATTGAGATGCTCAGTGACGGCCTCCCAGCCGCCCCCTGGGGACCAGGCCCCGCCACACCGCTTGCCCCAGCCTGCCTCAGGCGCCCACGGGCTGGAAAAGCCCCGGGGATCGGGGAGCAGCGGCTCTTCCCAGTTCCCAGCCCGGTAGCCTCCCCATCTTGTCTCAAGTTATTTTGTTTTTAAAGTTGCCTTTTTTGTGGTTTTTTTTCCTCATTTTTCTTCTTCTTCTTCTTCTTTATGCCATATGTATTTTTTCCCCCAAACACGTGCCCTCTGAACTCCATAGACGCTATACTTCCCTTGAAGAAATGTTAACAGTCACAGAGAGTGTCTGGAGTCTTCAGCTTGATTGATATTGGCTGATATGTCAAAGGTGTCATCCAACAGTTCTCATTTATAAATATATATAGAGAGAGGTTTGTTTTTTAATGTAGCCCGTTCAGCATCCTGCCCTAAAATGAAGAAAATCAGGGCTGATTAAGCCAAGAGAGGAAACACAAAACGCATCCAAACACCAAGAGGAACCTGCCTTGGGGGTTAGGGCGGGAGCTCTGGGAGATGGCGGGAGGGAGGGAAGAGACCGGTATGAGAATTAGTCATGATCATGATACATAAAGAAGAAATCGACTCTTCTATTCAGAGTGAGAAATCACCAGGAGGTCTAGTGGTGATGGTTGTAGCTGAGGTTTGGTTGTCTGTTGGGAGAGGGTTTTCGATTTGGGTTCCTTTAGCATTCTAGAATGAGGGATGGCTAGATCTAAGGGAAGAATTTGGGACTGTGGGACGTGAATTCATAATTGAACTGATCTCTGAGGGGTCTAGCCCAGATACAGTATGTATACAGAAGCCTAGCAAACAAGATAGCAAAAATCTAGCAGCCCAGCCCACTCCTCCCCACGATCCCTGACATGAATTTGGCAGAACCCTTGCCCAGTTTCCAAGCCAACCGCCTCTTTCCCGAGGTCAGTAACTATTTGCGAGGCCATGTATATATACGTATATCTGGATATATGTGTAGAATATATTCACCTGCACATATGTGGATATACATGGGTATGTGTGTATGTATATGCGCAGATACACACATACACACACACACATACTATTTTTCTCATACATGCCAGGGAATTTAGAGGAAATTCAGAACTTGGAGGAAGTGGATAGGAGAACCTAAAAGAAGTTAGAACGGATTTGACCATCGAAGTTAAATTAACTCAGACAGTTCTTGATTTTGTTTTGAATGGTGGCTTTTTGGTGTTTTGCTTTGCATTTCAAAGAAAAAAAATCATGATCTGACTAGAATCCGAAGGAGAATGCTTAATCATTGTGAATTAACAAATGAGACTCGTCTCCATTCTAGCAGGCAGCTTCCACTTATACATGGGGGTGACTGGTTACATCAAGAAAGTTAGAACTGCAAAGCCCCCAGTTGAGGGGACAACGTCATGCGTATATCAATCCATGCTGGCAGGTTTTTCACACTGTTGATTCAACAAACAGCAAACCGTACACAGCAATCTAAACAATTACAACACCAAATAAAATAATAATAAAATTAAAAAACACTTGTCAAGGACCCTTTTTCAGTTGTAAACAAAAAGGTGCATTTCGCTTTTGTCAGTACTGTTTTGTCCAAACCAACCAAAAGGCCCTCCCCAGCCCCCAGGCCCCCCCTCCCCTCCCCGCATTTAATTTAGCAGAAGTGGTTACAATACAAACCTTATAATTGTTACCGGGCTCTCTCTCTCTCAGAGGCCTCGGGCTTTGAACTCTAGTTTTTTTGGTTTAGAATTTTTTTTTTTATCATTCTATGACTGTAGAGATTTGTTTTTGTTTTTGTTTTTCCTTTTGAAGTGAGATTTAAAATAGCCTAACTGAAAAAAGACCAGACCTCGGAAAGTGTCAATTGAAAAAGGCCCCCAAATTTCTAGAAAAAAATAAAATCACAATAGTTTCAAGTGCAAGTAAATCAACCACGCATAGATTTTTTTTAAAAGATGTTTTCCTTATTTTTAAGAAAAAAAATAATGGTTTGCACAAGTTAAATGATCCCATGTCCGATAATCGGGAATTCATCTTTATTTTTTTACTCTTTTTTTTTTGTTCTTTTGTTTTGTTTTGTTTTTTTCTCTATGTGACATCTAGAGAAGCATAAAAAACGCTGAACAAGAAAAACCAAACAACAGAAAGTAAAACCACTGCAAGCACCAAGAACGAAACGAAAATGAGCACAGCAAAAAAGATTGTGGCAGCACAAAGGTCAAGAAAATGCACGTGTGATCATGACTGGCCAATCATCAACTGATACAACATCCAAGAAAAACGCTCCAATCACAGCACCTCCACGAAACTTGACGGCAATTGTCATGCAACCGATTCTTAGCCTTGTTACATGACGCCATCATGTCACACTGTGAACTTTGAGTTGATTTGAACTTACGGATGGGGGACTGTTTTCTCCACTCTCATGTGATTACGTGAACTTTATTCCTAGCTCAGCGCGAGACTGTGGTGGATTTGACTGGCCCTGGTTGGGTTGTTGGAATTTGATTGAATGACAAAAGAAGAAAAGATTTATATATATATTTATATATGTAGAGAGAGAGAGAGAGAGAAAGAGAGGACAAGAGAGTGTGGGCAAGGGGGGAGGAAGAGGGAGGAAGGGTGGGTGGGTGGGGTGGGGTGGGGGGCTTGGGGGGGACAGGGAGAGTCGGGTTGAGGGTTAAGAAGGGCAAGGAAGAAGTTAAAACAAAATTAAAAGGAAAAATATTTTTACAACACCAGACCACAGCATCAATCTAAAAGCTCTGATGAGAGAACAGCAATCAAATCAAAAGAGAACTGAAAAAAAAACTCAAAGGATGAAGGAAGCCGGCAGACAAACGACGTGGGCACGGCAACACACACACGCACGCGCACGCACGCGCACACACGGTTGTTTGTGCAGACACATGATACACTGTGAACAGTAGCAGAACCTCACACAGGGCCACTAAGGGCATCCGTCACGCGCTGGGAAGAGGAGGGAGGGCGTAGGCAGTTTGGTGAGGGGGCCGGAAAAAAATAAAACAGCCCCTCAAACCACCTTGGGCGGCAAGCAGATCAGGGAGCACGCTCTCTGCTTTGGATCACCCTTGACTCTTTCTCTCTCCGCCCCCCCGGCTGCCGAGCTCTCCTCGCCGCCCCAGCCTTCCGCGGCGCCCGCCTGTGGACCAGCAGGGGGAGCCTGACAGGGTGGCCCTGCTTTGCGGGGTGGGTGGGTCAGGGCCGGGCTAAGGTGACTGCTGCATCCGAGGGGTCCATCCACGAAACGCTCCGCTACCCAGTACGGCCACACAGCAGCTCCGCCCTCCCCGCCCCGCCCCGCTCTCCCCCACCCCACCGTGACCGCCATCCCCAGAGAAGGGTGTCTCCAGGAAAAGAGCCCCCGCTGTGAGATGTCGTGATCCTCTCCCCGTCCACGCTGCCTCAACCCTCTTTCCTCAGAACCTTCAGAAAACGAACGCTTTCAGTTTTGAGATTGAGAGTGGATCACATCAACGTTCCCAGAATTCTACAAACACGCCTTGGCGGGGCTGTTTTCATTTCATGATCGCCTCACTCCCTCTGCTTTGCTCCTAAGGTGGCCCGCGGGGCCAAAGCGAGGCTACTTCTGCCACGTGAAGCCTTTGGAAGGTTCCACCCCTCGGACCCAGGAAAAGGCCCCTGGAAGACCAAGGCGCCCTGCGGGCTAGGTGGCACAGGACACCGGGGAGGGCCGGGCAACGGGCCTGCTGCGGTCAAGTGTGCTCTGCTCTCTCCCACCCCTCCGCCCCCTTCTCCGTTCCTTTACACCTACACCCCTCCGTGTACAGCTCTCTGGACTGACTCATTTCACAGGCCCTGACCTGCCTTCTCTACTGGTGGAGGCTCGGTTCTCTTCTCTGTCAAGCATCATCAGATTATTCCGATTTGAGTTGCCTGGCGTGCATCTCACCACTGGGGGTCCTTTGCCCCTCCCAGGGCATTGGATGTCCCCAGCCCTACCCCTTCCTCACGAGTGCCCCTGAGCTCGCTTCCTGGCCCCCCTCCCCTACAGCACCCGGGCCCGGCCAAAGCCTGTGCACCAGGCTTGTTTGCAGGCTTTCCAACACATCAGGCTTCTGCAGGCAGTAGCTTCTCTCAGCTTTGTGCTTCCCTTCAGGGAGTGTGGATGGGAAGCCTGTGATCGTGACATGTCAATGTGGATAAGCTGTGAAATAGCTCAGAGGTGACTCTATTTTAAGCCTAATCCTGGCCTCCAGCTCTGCCTTCCCAGAAGAGCCCCAGCCCTGCCTGCCCGTCCAGGCTGAGTTTCTGCTCCCCCAACAGCAGACCTCCCCACTTCACACCAGGGCCCATCATGTGCCAGCCCAGCCCTGACCTGCCACCCTTGCCTGCATCCCCAGCCCCTCCCGAAAGAAAGCTCTTAGACCCACCACCCAGGATATCCAATTGGTGGGGCCGCTGGGGCGGGAGAAGAGGCTGGAGGGCAGTGTCATCAGGTGTCCGCCATGCCAACTGCAACTAAGGAACCCCCGGGGCACATTCCCCCAGTCCTGAGCACTTTCGGGGCGCCCATCCACTGTGTTCCTTTGCCCACTCCCAGCTTCCCTCCAGCTGCCTTTCAGTGCCTGGCGCTGTCCAACACTGGGGATTGAAGCCTGAACATCAAACAGCCTCTCCTCAGAGCCAATTCTAGACAACTTTCTCATACACACTCTCATTTCTCACACACACCTGGCCCCCAACACACACACTCGCACACTCACTTGGCCGCTAAGGAGCCTTCCCAGGGTTGTGCCCCTGCACACCTGCCCACTCTCTTTACTAGGGGGCAGCCGGACCTCTGCCTGCAGGGTGACCCCTGCCTGGCCACCCTCCGGAATAGCCTCCCAGGCCACAGCCCTAGAGATAGCAGCAGGGTCACCGAGCAGCATGGGGAACCCTGAATCAGGTCTGGGAAGCCCCACCTCACGACCCAGGTGAGGAAATTATGGTCCAGCCGAGCCAATTCAGGTGCCAGGTCCTAAACACAGCCGGCTTCTACCCAGAGAAGGCCCAGGCCCAAAGCCACAGCCCGCCCCATGCAGGCCAGACCCGAAGTGCCCATGCCTGCAAACTCGAAGCAGACATTGCAAAAGCACACTCAGAGCCAAAGCCCAGGAACCAGAAGAGGCGGGGACCCGCAGGGTCAGACAGCCAGTGTGTTCTTCCCCCCACAGAACCGCAGGGCTGGGCGCTGGCACACTGGCCCTCAGTGCAGGCCCAGAGCGATCAGCCAGCTCAGAGGAGGGCCAAGGAACTGGGGTGTCTACCCGGGCCTGGCCACGTTTGTGCCACTCTCTCTGCCTTTGTTTCCTTCTTTTTAGTTTCTGGGGAAAGATTTCTTGGAGAAACTCCCATGTTAGCACAAGACAGGAGCCCAGGCAGCCAGAGGCGCGGGGCAGCACGGAAGCCAGGAACCACACTCTCCAGAGACATCGGAATCGGCAGACCCAGCCCCACCGGGGCCTCACTTTATGGAACCAAAGCCCAAGCACGCTCCTCCTTCCCGTGGCGGGGCTGCCCCAGCCCCCCCACCTCCAGTTCTGAGCTGGCCGCCTGCTGTGTCTTCTGTCTTCACCACTGGCCCTAAGATCCCCCTCCCACTCTCCACACTGAGCTACGGCTAGTCCCTTGGCCCCAGTTCAGGTTAGCGCTGCCTTCTGGGCACCTAGGACTCATTATTTGTAAACACCGTCTATCGGCCTGTAAAATCATGCAGGGTTTTAGCTGCTATTGCGTCCTCTTTCCACCCTCCCTCACTGGCAGCAGCCACGTCTCACTCCCCAGCCTTGCAGTGGGTACAGGCTCGAGAACCCTGTTCCAGAGAAGGTGAGTGGTGCTGCTCCTGGGTGGATGGAGGGTGTGCAGCTGACAATGGTGGGAAGTGAGGGGGGACTGGGGAACTGGAGACCTCCCCCGCAAAACTCCACACTCTGAACCTCCACTGAAAAGTTTGTCACGCACCTGACTTTTCTCTCAAACCCCCTCCCTCTCAGGTCACGACAGCTCTTCTCTGCCAGTCACTCAGGCCCAAAGCCAAGCGTCATCCTTGACGCCGCTTCCTCTCACACCTATCTCTAATTCCTTACAAACAGCAACCCTAGCTCTGCCTTCAGAAGACATCTAGAACTCAACTCCCTCACACCACATTGACTGCTGTGGCCCTGGGCTGAGAGGTCCAGGCTCTAGACCTCTGCTCTGGGCCCTACTGCATGACCGATCCTATCGAAATGCAAGTTAATCTGTCACTGTTGTAAGCAGAGCTCCCCAATGGCTCCCTGCCCAGCCCATGAATGGCCTGCAGGTGGCCCTCCTTATCTCTGGGAGCTCCTTTTCCACTACGCCTCGTGCTCCCTCTCCTCTGGTCACCCTGGCCTCCTGATGGTCCTTGAAGACACCACTTTGCCCTCGCCTTGGAGCCTGCACACTGGCTGTTCCTTCAGCACAAGGACGCACTCCTCCAGACCCTGGTGGGGCTCCCCGCCTCACCTTCCTCAGATCTTTGCTCACGTGTTACTTTTTCAACAAGGCCTACCCTGACTGCCTGATTTAACTGTAACTAACAAACCTGACACACTGTATAATTTACTTTTTGATCATATGTCCTTATTTATTGTCTGTCTCCCTTGCTGAGGACAAGGATCCTTACCAGTCTTACTCACTAATGAGTATGTAACAGTACCTGGCGCCCAGTACTACTGAAGCACCAGAGGGCTGGGCAGCCTGGCCCCGGCCTGTGATGAACTGGGACTGCAGGAGCCCACGGCAATGGGGGCAACCAGGCCAAAGGGGGACTTCTGGGGGCCTGCCCTGGCTTTTCCCTCCCCTCTTCCCCAGGAAGCTGCTTCACCCAGGGGAACACGTGGCCTGGAAGAGGAGTGGCTGGCTGTGCCTCCAGCTGTAAGGACCCAGACTGAGCAGGAAAAGGCGACAACTGCCCATTCATCATGGCCTCTGTAAAGCAGGCAGGGTAAGTGGCCCCAGTCCTGTATCATCAGCCTCCTCAGTTTCTGTCCCATCCTGTTTCGTTTCTCGGTAAAGTTCCTTTTGAAAAGTCCTGTCCGTCCTCTCCAGACTGCGCTGCGGGGAATTGGAGGGGTGAAGGGGTCAAGTGTCTAAAAGCCATCAGCCCTCAGGCAGGAGAACTGGGGAGGGGAGAGCCCGAGAGTCTGGGAGAAGGCCCCAGTAGGGCCTACAGCTCCCCACTGAGCCTACTCCGCCCCCAAACTCTCCCAGCCCTGAGCTGTCCATCTGCTCACCCCGGGGTTTTCTGGCAAACAAGACTGCCAGTGCAGACCTTCTCAGAGCAGTTCCCTCACTCCTGTCCCCCTTGGCTCTGCCGCAGGGGGATGGCCATCCCCATTTCTGCCGGGATGACCACAGCTCATTGCCTGCGCCCTAGGCACCGGGCGAGGAGCAGGTGGAGACGGGCGCAGCGGGTCCAAGGAACAGCAAGGGTCCAGTCCACAGAGGCCAGAGGAGGCGGCGGGTCCGGACAGGGTCAACCACCCCAACCCCCCGTCCCCGCGCCCCGACCGCCCCCGGTTACCTGTGCGAGTCCTGGTCTCCCCCGGGGGACGCTCCCGCCGGCGCTCAGTACGGGCGATTGGCGTCTTTGGGCCGCTTCAGCTGCACCTTGAGCCTCTTCATGCCGATCTGGAAGCCGTTCATGGCCTGGATGGCGGTCTGC